ACTGCAACACTGCAGAGAGAAACTCAAGGAGAGGGCAAGACGACCCTGAAACTCCTCAGAAGTGATGGGCTCCCACACGCCCAGCCCTCAGGTGTCCCTGCTTCTGGCGCAGAGCAGCACAGACAATCCTTAGTCTGGGAATTTCTCTTGCAAGTAATACGAAGCCCTGCACACTATATTATGTTCTCATGGAAATACCCCATCCTCTTCAGTGACTCACTGTTCTTCTGGGTACCAGTCACATGTTCTAAAGTACATCAGTTAGCAAGGACAGCTGCTTAGCAGAGGATTGGAAAAGACACCTAATTTTGTTCAGAAATAGGAGAGGGCTGGTGAGATCCTCAACAGACTAAGCTCCTGCTTAGGCAAGCACAGGAACCTGCGTCTCCCTCCTCCCCCCTGCGCACCACATGCCATGCTGAGCCTGCAGAGACCGGGCATAGTGGTGCACACCTGTAATCCCAGCACTGGGGAAGCTGAAAACAGAAGGATCACTATGAGTCTGAGCTGCTAGTGAGACCCTGTACCAAATACATTTTTTTAAAAAATAGCAAGAAGTGTTGAGCTACCTGCCCCTTGAAGTTTCTACTACCACCCACCCAGAAACTTAACTCCCGTGCTCCTTCTCTTTCCCCACATACACATTGTAATCTGTTCTCTGCTTTCCTTTCCTCCTGCTGCTTTGCAGGAGCCGACATGGATGTGTGCCTTACAAACTATGGTCATTGTAATTACGTGTCCGGGAAACATGCCTGCATATTCTATGATGAGGTAAGGAATCGCGATGGATGGAGAGGGAGCTTTCCCAGCCTAAGGCCTCTCCCCCTTGTTTTTGTTCACTGCCCTGTGGGCAGGGGGAGGGGACCTCTCTTCCCTCCCTGTCATACCTAGAAGAGAGAAAGTCTTGGTATAAGAGGACAACCTACAATAGGCACCTGCTTTCAGGAGCAAGGCTGTCATTTCAGCTGAAGTTGGTCATAGGCACAATAGGGGGAGTCCACCCTAAGTGGGGAGCATAAGAAGCTGAGCTCTTTGGATTGTCCCTTTGAGTTTTGTCATCATCTACACGTGACTGCCATGTGGTGAGGAGGAAGAAGAATGGAGCAGGGGATGGGGACACTAGGAAGACAGCTTCCCCAAGGTGACTCTTGCCCCATTCTGAAAGATTGGGGCCATGGCTGGGAAGAATATGGTTACTCCTACATAGAGCAGCATAGCCTTCTCTGTATGTCCTTTCTCCCCTTAGCTCCAGGCCCCACACCACAGACCACACATCTTATCTCCCCTCCTCCTCTTCAGAATACCAAACATTATGAGCTGTTAAACTACAGTGAGCACGGGACAACGGTGGACAACGTGCTGTATTCCTGTGACTTCTCTGAGAAGACCCCGCCAACCCCCCCAAGCAGTATTGTTGCCAAAGTGCAGAGTGTCATCAGTAAGTTGGAGCAGAGGTCTGTGGCCTCAAAGCTGAGGTTACAGTGGTCAGATACGTGCTGCCAATGACCTGTAGTCTCTTGCTTCCCAGTCCCACTGGCTAGGCTGTCCTTGCTCGAGGGCTCAGGGAATACCCTGGAGAAGCAAGCACTGAGCATCTACCTGTATATATAATACAGACCTCTTGGGGAACTTCAGGCTCCACCAGCCCTTCGTGGGTATCCCTTACCTCTAGTTATGTAGCATTTGGAATCCAGAATTGCAGGGGGGCTGGCTCTAGGTAACAGTTAAGAGGGTCAGTTCACTGGGCCTCTCCTGTGACTGTCTCCTTTTTCCCAGGGCGCTGCCGACATCAGAAGCAAGATGAAGAGCCAAGTGAAGAGGTAGCCATGATGAGTTCCCAGGCTCAGGGGCCACAACGGAGACCCTGCAATTGCAAAGCCAGCAGCTCAAGCTTGATCGGGGGCAGTGGGGCCGGCTGGGAGGGCACGGCCTTACTGCACCATGGCAGCTACATCAAGCTCGGCTGCCTGCAGTTTGTCTTCAGCATCACTGAGTTTGCGACCAAACAGCCCAAAGGCGATGCCAGCCTGCTGCAGGATGGGGTCTTGGCCGAGAAGCTCTCTCTGAAGCCCCACCAGGGCCCTGTGCTGCGCTCCAACTCCGTTCCCTAGGGCTAGTGGCTACCCCGCCACCAGCCTGTATACCCGCCTAAGACTCCTGCAATGCAAAAATGTACACAAACTAAGCCTGGGTGTTTTCTATACCAGAAACCCTTCAACTACAATCTTTGCATGAAATGAAGAAAACTTTTGACTGTTTTTTAAAAATCCTTTTTCTTTTCTCAAGTTCTAGGGGGCATTTGCACATATATTTGTACTCAACATTTCATGGGAAAGCGGCAGACCCGAGCTGAGGAACAGCGTGGGCAGGGAAGGGAAGACCTGTGGTCTGGACACTTCCTCCAACACAAAACCCTTCCCCCCACCTCCTGCTCCCTCCCCCTCGCCCGCCGTTGTAAAATAATCAGAAACTTGTTCTATTTTGTGGCAGTGACAATAGTTTTATATTAAAAGAAAAATACAGTTTTCATACAGCAAAATCTATACAATATCATTGTTTTATTTAATATAAAGATCGCTACCCACCCTCTTTCCATGGTTCCCACCCTCTGAGTTATTTTCCCTTTCTGCAGCAGTTGCACTACAGGTAGCTACTGTGTATTATGGACAAATGAGAAATGAATTCTTTTTCTGGCTGTCCATCTATTTTATTTCAAATAAGGAAAAGTGTATTTGGATTTTGTGTAAATACATCTAGTGATGACATTTTTTCAATGTTTTTAAAAACTGTGTACAGTACTACATGTGTTAGAACGTTTTCTCAAATTGTCTATTGTAGCAAAAACGTTTTGTCGTAAACCTGTTTCGTCTCCTTTTTTGTTCTCTTGCCACTTTTCTCCTCTTCCTCCCACCCCAGCCCCCCCTTCTCCCACCCCTACAACTAGTACCAATGTACATAGTAATTGTAATGTTTTAGACTTTACAGAAACTTTCCTGTATTCTGTATATAAAAAAAAAAAAAATACTTCAAATTATGTTTTCTGCCTGTCTGTCCTACCTGTCATCTCCCTTACAGGGGACCCTTCCTGTGATCTTGGACCAACCACTGGGGGACCCTTTAAAGAGGCACCCCCAGGAACTCAATTCCAAAAGGTAGTTTAAGAAAGAAGGGAGTTGTCAAGAGCTGAACAAGCCTGTTCAGGGTGCAGAGCAGTAGAAGAGCACTTTCTCTGGAGAGCCTAATATACTGGAAATAATCACTAGTCCTAGCTGTGTCACTTCTAGTTATGTGACTTGAAATCCCAACTACACAACTGTCAATTCATAGAAGACAAATCTAATGTATTAATTCTACAGGCCCCAGACCCCCCCATTAAGCCAAACTCCTTCCTAGTAGGTTTTAGTGAGAGATTGGCTCCAGAAGTTCTGAGTAGTCTCCATGGAGAACACCTCTTTGAGTATTCCAGCACCATTTTCCACCTATTACTGGGTATCAAACTCAGCCTCCCAAATAGCTGGGATTATGGGATTACAAGTATGGGCCCCATGCTTGGTTCCAGCACTGCTGGAGCAGGTAGTACTTATGTACTGGGATTTTGCATTGGAGTTTAAAAAAAAATAATTATTCCACCCATAGCCTCTATAATTGTACTCTGTCCACACTGCAGGAAACACGACTCAGGTTTGTTCCGGGGACCCAAGTACTCATCTTTGTCTCCAGTATGCCACCACCTGATGGATATTGTAAAGTCCATGTTCTGGACCTCAGTATTTCCAAGGGTGCCCACACTGCTGAGCACCACCATAAGTGCCAAACATTACATGCTAAAGGGCTGGGGAGATGATGGTTCAGTAAAATAAGCACTTGTCTGGCAAGTGCGAGGGTCTGAGTTCAATACCCGGTTACGCACAAAGGAAAAAAAATAGGTGCTAATCCTACTGGCTTTCTCAGGCAAGGTCCTGCTAAAGCACCTGGCCAAACATGGCCTTGTCCATGCCTCTAGCTGTGCCTGCCTACCTCACCAGCATAGTCACTTTTTCCATTAAGTGTCTTTTTCCATATGCTGTACCTGTGAGAACCAATCTAGAAACATTTCCTCCTGAAAAAGCGGGAGCAGCCGCTACTTCCGGAAGTGTGATAGCTGGGTGTGGTGACACATTCCTGTAATCCCTACACCCAGTGAGGCAAAAGGATACATCCTCCCACCCTTGGGTGTTCGAGGCCAGCCTGCATAATGTAGCCAGACCCTGTCTTTAAAAAATAAAAGTACTGACAGGAGGGGGCAGGGAATGAATAATCCTGAGCGCTTTAGCCCATGCCATTTTAGATGCAATCACATCTCTGGCCTGTCTAGGTAGAATAGGGAAGAATCCTGAAGGCTGCATGTGAGGATAACAGATTGAAGGATTTGTTCGTTGGGAAAGGCCTCTCTGGGACAAAACTCAAAGACACAAGCTCATTCATATATATGCCTCTAGAAGGGAGGGAATCTGCTGCAGACTCACACCTACAATGTGCTGTTCATTCAGCACAGGCGTTGGCGGAAATTCCAGACACACACACATGTCTGGGGAGACTACCGGAATGGGCACAGACACCTACGAGGTGCTTACCCAGGCGCGCGCACACACACATACACACACACACACACACACACACACACACACACAATCCAGAGACAAGCACAACGCAAAGGATGACCCATCAGCCCTTCGCACATATGTGGACGATGCAGATGCGAATACAGACCCAGCAGGCATTCCCGGGGTTCCTGGGAGCACAGGTGCCCAGGGGGTGGAGGGGAGTTCCCACGGGCCCACGCCTAGGGGGCGCTCCCAGGGCCCAAAAGCACTTACCTCCCAGGTGTTCACACAGGCACAGCGCCAGAGGACGCAGACGCACGCCTAGGGGGCGCTACAGGGCGTACACGCACACGCACGCACACACACCCGTCCGCCTCCGCCTTGGCAAGAGAGGCCGAGGCGCGCGCGGCGCCCTTCCAGGCCCGTGCAGGGCGGGGTGAAGCCGCGGCGCGATCCAAGGCTGCGCTGGGCTTGGGCGGAAGCCGGGAGGCTCCGCCGCCATGGAGGCGCTACTGCTGGGCGCGGGGTTGTTGCTGGGCGCCTACGTGCTCATCTACTACAATCTGGTGAAGGCCCCGCAGTGCGGCGGCATCGGCAGCCTGCGGGGCCGGACGGCAGTGGTCACGGGTGAGTGCGGCCGTGCTCGCAGGCAGGAGGGCGCGGGAGGCCGGGCGGCTGTCCCCATGCTCAGCTGGCTCCCGCCCACCTCCCGCAGGCGCCAACAGCGGCATCGGCAAGATGACAGCACTGGAGCTGGCGCGCCGGGGAGCGCGTGTGGTGCTGGCCTGCCGCAGCCGGGAACGTGGGGAGGCTGCTGCCTTCGACCTTCGCCAGGTGAGGAAAAGCGGGGACTGGGAGCCCAGTGCACATCGGGACACAGAGGGGTCAGACACTTGGGCGTCCAGTTCCTGAGAGGAGACAGCAGCCCGAAGGACAAAAGTGGGTGCAGGTCCCATGGAGAAGGGCTACCAGAACTGAGTTGGGGAAGAGGCTTCCAGAAGGTAGGAGTTGATCATCTGAAACAGGATCAATAGGAGTTAGGGTAAGCAGAATAGCAGGAAAGGAAATGGCATATGCAAAGGTACTGAGGCTAGAGTCAGATTTAAGAAACTGCTAGAAAAAAGTTGAGTGAATCTGAAGCAAGAACTATAAGGTGGGAAAAATGAAGAGGTGTCGAGGGAGGACCAGGTTCTAGAGGCCATTAAAGATATTATTGAGGAGCTTGGACTTTGTAGAATGGACAGCAAAGATCAGGAAAGGGTGTAAGGAACATCTGAACTGCAAGAATAGCCTTTTGGAATGAAGCCTTTGTGAGGAGACCAATGAAAAGGCCGTTGTGGAGGCCAGGGATGTACCTCAGTGGCACAGCGCCCACCTGGCAAGTGTGAAGTCCTGAGTGTGATTCCCAGCACCTCCCGCCCCCAGGAAAAAGTCTATTATAGGTTTTAGGTAAGTGATAATGGCAAGAGGGAGTGCTAACAACAGTAATAGCAAATACCTACCCAGTAATAACTGCAGGGGTTTTTACAGATATTAACTCACTTAATGCTCATAACAATTCTATGAGATAAGGACTATAGTACTATTGTTATTCTCATTTTACAGTGAGAAAACCTGAGGCCCAGAGCAAGTAAATATGACTTGCCAAAAGTTATATTCCAGTAAAAGGCAAAGTCAGGGTTGGAATCCATTATCTATTACATTCGAATGCAGAAAGGCAGGTTTTAGTAATAGGAAGAGGAAGACTCTCAGAACTAGCTCTTTGGGAAGAGGGAAGAGGAGAGAGGTGCTTGGTGACAATCCCAGCCCTTGCCGCTCTACAGGAGAGTGGGAACAATGAGGTCATCTTCATGGCCTTGGACTTGGCCAGTCTGGCCTCGGTGCAGGCCTTTGCCACTGCCTTCCTGAGCTCTGAGCCTCGGCTGGACATCCTCATCCACAATGCCGGTGAGGGGCAGCAGGCCCTGCGGTGGGGTGGCGGGCACCAGGGGCCAGTGGACACACGGGAAGGATCTCCCTACTCCCTTCTCACATTTGGGGATACTGAAGCCTTCAGGGCTCCTTCTGGACTGACACCCAGCCCCTGCCTCAGGAATCAGTTCTTGTGGCCGGACCCGGGAGGCCTTTAACCTGCTGCTTCGAGTAAACCACATCGGCCCCTTTCTGCTGACACATCTGCTGCTGCCCCGCCTGAAGACATGCACCCCTAGCCGTGTGGTTGTGATATCTTCAGCTGCCCATCGGCGTGGGCGCCTCGACTTCACCCGCCTGGATCGCCCAGTGGTGGGCTGGCAGCAGGAGCTGAGGGCATATGCTGACAGTAAGCTGGCCAATGTATTGTTTGCCCGTGAACTCGCCACCCGGCTTGAGGGCACTGGTGTCACCTGCTATGCAGCCCACCCAGGTGAGGCCTGGCTTTTTGCACCTCCTGATTCCCCTATCCTCTGCTCCCGCAGCCTGTCATGGAGTCCAGGGACTTCAGAACAGGAAGGAAGCAAGGTCCAAGGAGACATGGTCCTTGCTGATTTTAGCACCAGGCTGTCCTCAACTGGGTTCTTCCTGTCACACCACAAGCTCAGACACTGATCACTGGGAGGGGCATGGCAAGAATACAACCTAGTATTCTAACATCCAACTCTACTACTGGGGGTAGTGGCACACATGTGTAATCCCAGCACTTAGGAAGCTGAGGCAGGAGGATCATTGCAAGTTTGAGACTAGCCTAGACTACAAAGTGAGCTCAAGACCCTGTCTCAAAAAGACAAAAAAAAAAAAAAAAAAAGAACATCCATCTGTACTGATGGAACTGACTGTAATCTGATGACAGTGATGATGGCAGGTAATAATTATTTACTCATTCATAGAGCATTTCCTGAGTACCTAACATATCAAGCATTATTCATGATATTAGGGTTATAACAATAAACAAAATGAAGACTTCGGCCCAGGGGTGTACCTGAGTGGTAGAGCTTGTGCTTAGCATGCACAAGACCTGGGGTTCAGTCTCCAGCATGCACACACACGCACACACATAGAGAAAAAAAAAAAAACAAGGGTGATTTCATAAAGTCTTCCTTCTACCTTGCAGGAGGGAGGGGTAACTGATAAATATACATATAACAGTTACGCATGGTGATAACTTTAGGGAAGGATCAAACAGGTTAAGGGGAGTTTGAAATGCAAGGAAGTGCTATTTCGCGAGTGGCAAGCAAAGAAAACTTCTGACAGTGTGACATTTGAATGAGGCCTGAAGAAAATGAAGCTGTGAGCCAAATATCTTTCTGGAAAGAAACTTGAAAAGAGAAGTGGTGCAAACAGCAGGTGCAAAAAGGCCCCGAGGCAGACGTTCCTAGTGTGCTTAAGGAAGCCTAGTATGGCTAGACCAAAGCAAGGGGGAAGAGTGGTAAATGATGAGATTGTAGAAATGGGCTGGGTCATATAAGGTTTTTTGTTTTTTTTTTTAAATTTATTTATTTATTTATTCATTTTGTGTGTGTGTAGCCAGTTCAGCCCACCAGAGGGTGGGGTGGGCTGGCATGTGGTGCTGGGGATTGAACCGAGGTCCCTGTGCTTTTGCTTAACTTAGCTTGTTCTAAGTAGGTGCTTTAGACCACTGAACCATCTCACCAGCCCTGGGTCATATAAGGTTTGGGAGATTCACTGTAACCATTTTGACTTTTACTCTGAGACATTTAGCAAGTAGATTCATCCTTGCCTTTAGGAAATAGGTTACAGGGCCATGGAAATAGCTGAATGGTATATGCAAAGGTACTGAGGTACCATAGATTCATCCTTCAGGGCCATGGAGATACCTCAGTGGTCTAAGCACCTGTTTAGGCAAGTGCAAGGACCAGGTTCAATCCCAGGTACCGCATGCCATGCTGGCCCTACCCTGGGTGCACCAAGCCAGCCACCAAGACCAGGCATGGTGGCACATGCCTGTAATACGAGCACTGGGGAGGCTGAAACAGGAGGATCACTATGAGTCCCAGCTGCATAGTGATACTCTGTACCAAATACATAAAATTTTAAAAAAAAAGGAAATATGTTACAATAGGGTCTGCCCTTCCTATTTTAATATACTGCATTTTATATAACCATTGCCTAAGACTCATTAGTAAAATAATAATGATAATAATAATCACAACTAATCTTTTTGTTTTATTTTTTGATACAAGGTCTTGCTTTGTAATGTAGGCTGTTTTGAACTGTCTTATGTAGCCCAGGCAGGCCTTGAACTTGTGGTGATCCTCCTGCCTCAACCTCCTGAGTGCTGGGATTACAGATATGTGCCGCCATTCCCTACCACAGCTAACCCTTTATTAAGCTATTATTACAACTTCATATCCCTAATGAACAAAACATTGTCCAAAATACCATAGGTCCTTTCTGTTGTCCTTCTGTTGTGCTTTTGAGAATCTAGTAGCTTTATAGGTCAGACTGGCCTTGAACTCATGGTTCTCTTGCCTTAGCTTCCTGAGCACTAGGATTACCAGGTATATATTGTTACCACCATGCCCAGCCCACCATAGGTTCATTTGTGTGTGTGTGTGTGTGTGTGTGTGTGTGTGTGTGTGTGTGTGAACTATAAGTTGAACACAGGGCCTTCACAACTGGATCGCATTCCCACCTCTTTATTTTTATTTTTTTATTTTGAGACAGGGTATATTCACTTCAGATGCCCATTTTTGGTTGTTTTTATGTTGTTGTTTGGGTTTTTTTGTGTGTGTGTATGTGTGTGTGTTTGTGTGTGTGTGTTTGTGGGGGAATTTTGGTCCTTTTATATTTATTTATTTATTTGGTCCTTTTAAAACAGAGTTTTGCTATGCCATTTAGGCTGGCCTTGAACTTATTTTGTAACCCAGACTGGTCTCCAACTCACAGTGATTCTCCTGCCTCAGCCTCCTGAGTGCTGGGGTTACAGGCATGCGCCACCATACCCAGCTAGATGCCCAGTTTTGGAGACAGGGTCTTGGCAAGTTGCCCAGGCTGAACTTCAACTTCCCATCTTCTTGCATCAGCCTCCCAGAGTACTGGGACTGTGTGCATGCACCATCATGCCTAGCTCCACCAAAGCTTTTTTTTTTTTTTTTTGTATTTAGTCTCACTATGAGGTCTTCAGGGTCTCACTATGTAGATCTAACTCATAGTGATCTGCCTGTGTTCAGCCTCCCTAGAGCTGGGATTACAGGCACACACCACCACGCCCCAGTCTCAATCACGTCTCAGCATGCCCCAGGAGTGGAGCTGGCACCACAGGCCAGGATCAATCCCTGGCCATTGTGCTCTGCCTAAGTAGGCACTTTAGTCCCCTGAGCTATCTGGCTGGCCCTCTTCACCATAGCTTCTTACCAGGGATTGAACTCAGGTCCTTGTGCTTGTCAGGCAAGCACTTACTCTACTTAGCCACCTCCCCAGCCCCACCATAGCTTCTTTTTTCTTTGGTGGAACCAGGGATTGAACTCAGGCCCTTGCGCTTGCCAGGCAAGCGCTTATTCTACTGAGCTATCTCCCCTGGCCCTTCACCATACCTTCTTAATCAACACTGGTTAAAGAAAGGAACAGTACTCAAACTACAAGAAAAATGGAGATTGGGGAATCTTGCATGATACCACTACACCAGCGGCACTTTTTTAAAAAAATGGAGATTGGGAAGCAGGAGGACACATTATCAAAGTGTGGGAGACAAGGCTATACATGAAGTTTGGATGGAGGGAAATTACTGCAGAAAATGAACAAGGTCAGCTTGAGGGGGACCTAAATATCTGGCAGATATTATTCTGCTCTCTCTGGAACCAGATTCTGTCCCCCACTCCCCTGCTGGCTTTTTTTGGTAAATGTATGTATGT